TTAAAGCACTCTTCTTTAATTTCTAAAAAAATATTATTTTATTAGTATTGCGATACAAAATGAATTCCATTCGCGGTTTTTTGCTCGGGATATTTATATCGATTGGGAGATATTTTAATTTTAATAGCATATTATTGGCTAGATTTTTTTCTTTTTCAATACTCCTTATCACTTCCTGCATTTGTTTTACAGAAAATATTGCCATGATATATATTTGTTTTTATCGCTGATGAAGAATTTTTTTAAAATTAAAATTTTTTTTATTAAATTTTTCGTCAATGATATGAATATTCATTATAATAACTGAATGTTCATTATAAAATTTATATTATTCCAGATTATAATATTTCAATTGCTTTTCTTTTCTTATTTCAATTGCTTTTCTTTAATTATTCTGCTAGTCTTCTAAATAAATTTGTTTCAGGTATATCTTTGTAAAAATACCAATATTTCAAGAAAATATTCTATTTTAGCCTATTGCTAATTTATAATTATATCTTATGGAATTTTATTAATTATTTGTTTAGTTTGATTTTTTCAGAGACTATTGAGATTATTAATTAAAGAAGATGCAAATACTTAATATAATATTTTTTTCCTTTTCTTTAATAATATCGGTATCTTTTTATAAGAGGGGTCCTAAACAAATTTTATATAGGTAGATAGATAGCTCATAGATACCTTGAGCATTGAGAAAGGCATTAAAAAAAACATTTAGATTCTATGTAGATAGGAATCATATAATTGAAAAATAAATTTATTTATACATATATTGTATTTATTCAAGATTAAAAAAATATAAGAGTATAAAATTGTAAGAGTATAAAATATAAATAAAAGATTAATAAAAATTTTAATAAATATAAATTTCTACAATAATTTTTTATATATTTTATTTTATATATTATATAATTAATAATATAAGTTTATTTTATATATTATAAAATAAACTATATAAAAATTTATTGTAGTAACTTATATTCTATAAAATTTTTACTAATTCTTTGTATCAGAAATTAATGGAATGAGTGTGGAATAAATGTAAAATGAATGTAGAATGAGTAATGTAATCAATGAAAGATACTTATATTTTGTATAATTCCTTTGATTTTATTGAAATTTTTTTGTAGATAGGTTTACCTATCTGCAAATAAATCTTTGTATTATTATATATTAAAACATATGTAGAATTTATTAGTATATTATATAGTATATATATTATATATTATATAGTAATTGTGTTGTACTTATGTTAAGAACTATCTATATTAGAACTATATATATTAAGGATTATGGTTAATTACATTTAAAATTAACATATTTCTGGATATTTAATCAAGAGTTTATAAGTTTTTGTAAGTAAATTTTTTGTAAGAAATTTTTAAAATATAAATGATTTTAATTGATAATTGACTTGTAGAACTGTTACTTTAGAAAACTGTTTAAACTGCTTAAAATAGAATTTGTAACTGCATCCATAATTAAATTAAATCCATAATTAATGGTAATGGAAATAATATTGATATTAAAAGCGATGATGATCAATAAAATAAGTATAATATGTGAAATATATTTAATTTTGTTTCCTTTTTAGAAATTTCATAATTACTAATATTTTATATTTTCATGCCAACGAATATAAAATATTAATGTATATGTGAAACAACATATCTATATTTCATGTAGAGTTATATTTTACATTAGATTAAGATATCATTTTAATTTTAATTTCAGATTTAGTTTATCGCATCGGTTTTCCTTAAAATTTCTTTTGTTGTTTTGCACAATTCAAAGATTTAATAATTTGTAAATCTACATCGAGAGGAATACTTATCATTGATTTGACATAAATTTTTGCTTTAAAGAAGAATGAATGGAACGTCGTGGTTAGGATGAGTTTCTAATTATACGATATAAAATTTTGTAAGATGTCGCGATATTTTGTTCTTGTCTGTGATAAGGAGATTTTTGCATTGTTGATAAAGTAGATGAAATAGATGAAAAACTGATTGTTTATGCTTTTTTTTACTTTTGGAAAAATATTTTTGATGCTCGCAGGATAATGATTTATTTTTGTCCTACTTTTTTTCTTGCTTCTAGAATAGTATTTTGGATACTTAATAGATGGCGACAGCGACCTATTTGTTTCATTTTTCTGTCTTTCTTTTACTATTTTCACTCTACAGATGGAACTCCCAAATTGTAGCCGTATTATTTTTTTTTTGCTGTTTATTTTTGATGTATATTTAGATTAAAATATGGTATATAGATGGTGCAAGTATGATCATTCTGATTTTTCTTGTGATTATTATTTTAAAAGATATCATGTGTTTTGTTTTATTATATTTCATGATATTTATTATCTAATTTCGTATTCTTTATATTTTTTCAATTTTAATCATCTCATAGAGTAAAGATATTCATTTGATATGAGAAATACATTCATTTGTATTGTTATTGAGCGATATTTGTTTTAATTTTAAATAATTGAACAAAATATCAAGAGTGAGTTACGACGTTCGAATATTTGTTTAGTGTTATAGTGCATTAAGAAAAAATTTCAATAATTAAAAATTAGAACTTTTTAAATCCATTTAATTGCATATTGTTAATTAGAAAAATTTATGAGAAATTTGATTCATATTATCAGTTAAAATTAATCTATTATCAAAGAGATCATTATTAATACAATCTTGGCACTAAATTCTCAATTTTTATTCTCCCAGTGTTTTTGTCCTTTTAATATTTTTTGCTTTCTTTATTTTTAGCGCATAGAGCTATAAACATATTCCGTTTTTTATATTTTTAAATTTTCCATTAAATTATAACAAATGAAAAATTTCTTAATATTGACACTTATCACTCAAGTCAAAAAATATAAAAATTTATATTCTTATAAATGTAAATATTATCAATTTAAAATCATATTTTGTCGAATTCATTTTTAATATAATTGATGAATCAAATATTTTTTTATAATATATTTTTATAATATCTAAAATATAAATTATAGTATTTTATTTATAAAAATTAATGAATCTTAATAAGAGAAAATAAATGAAAATACCATAATTTAAAAATGTAAAATATTGCAGTTTGTTTTCATACATTTTTTATTTTTTTTTCAATATCGAATATCCACAGAAGTTTAAAAAAAAATTATTAAAGGAAGAAAAAATTACCAAATTAATAAACATATTTACATATTTTAACATTTATTCAGAACATATTGCTGCTAAATCGAAAATTCGATTCATATCGAAGTGTGACATAAGGGAAAAAAAATGAAATAATATTTGCTTTTACGAAAAACATGGATCGTATATATATGTTGTATTTGATTGTGTATATATATATAAAATATATATATAATATAATATATATATAATACTATAATATATATATAATTATATATATATTATGATCCTTTGTCAAAATAGTTGACATAAATTAACTTAAAGTCTAATAGATAACGAGCCCTCGATGCGGTCACTAAGATTATATAATTTATAATATAATTAACAAAATATAATTAATAATAATACAAATACCGATTCGTAAGCTCATTATCTTCAAATAAGAGTTCCGTTTTAACATAATATATTAAATCGTTACTCTAATTTAATTTTAAATTGATTCTAAATACTTGACAGCTTCCTCTCGGCTGATGAAATGTCTCTCTGTGACTCTCTTTCTTAATACAAAAATTATAAAAAGTATAATACAATCTTGTTTAAACATTCTCACTCTAGGTTTTTGTTAATTACCTATAATTCGCTTATTTACGATCCTATAATTCACGCTATCGCAACGAGGCAGACGTTAATTTTTATTTACGTTTTATTTATAATTTTAATCCTTTTTTTTTTCACTCAAGTTTTGCTAAAGACTAGTTTCGAACTGTTTGAATACAGTTATAACGCCTGCTTTTTATATCATAAATTCTACGCTCTATACATGAATAATATAATTCTGTATAATTTACACACAATGTCGACAACTTTTTCGAATAATCGAAAGTCGTTGAGCCTTCGTATTTCATCTTCGCTATCAATAGATCTTGGATCTATTTTTTTTTTTTTTTTGATTTTATTAACTTAAAAAAAGTATGAAAATTAATTCTATAAATTTCGACAATAATTGAAAAACATGCAATCTGTAAGTTTAGTTCCTACTCCTTCTCCCTCTCTCTTCCCCACGTACAAAAGTATAGAATTTTATAAAATTATATAAATAATATAAGAAATTTTTTCACCAGTATTAAACAAATTGTTTTTTAATCAATTAATAGAAATTTTATTTAAAGATGCGTAAAAATGTTCGATTTTTGTTCGCGTTTAGATATGATTAGAATTGCTTTCCGTTTTTAAAACGAATCATCACTGATAGTTGACAAATTTTCATAGATAAAATATTTCTTTTGAAAGTCTATTAAATGCACAATAAGATTGTGCTTTCAAATAATGTATTGCTACAGCCAACAATTGATTATTGTACCATTTTTAAAAATCTTATTAAACGGTATATACCATGGCAGACACATGATGTTACATTTATATTACAATCTAATAGATCAGTCAAAAATTTATGATTTCGCGTATGTAAAAATATAAATAAAACTAGTAGTATAAAAAGTCTTATAGAAGCTACTTAATGTATAAAATTCATATCATATCAATCAAGTATCACTTAATATTGTGACTGTAATACAACGAAACATTAAAATTTTCATATACTTATATATAAAATCAATATGTATCCATTTTGTTAGTTAATATGTTTAAATACATATTAACATAAATTTTTTTAATACTTTCAAAATACCATAAAACACAAGGAAAATTAATTATAAAATAATACAAGAGAAACACGATATCAAACGGGTTGAGCTTACATTCTATTGTATATATATTTTGTATTTATACTTATGTATATTCCATTATATTATATGTATAAAAAAAGGTTACGATAAGTTATGAAATATAGTGAATTTTAACGTGTTTATCGACAGTATATAAAATATTTATATTTCAATCGAAAGAAATAAATAAATACGAAAATGGCAGTGATTAGATATTAGTGAGAGGTTTGTTTACTTATCCTGTTTAACAAACGTTACCCGAAAGCTTTGAAGATCGAATTCTTTTACTTATGAAACGAATGTAGAGGTATAGATATATATCTTGTATAACGTGTGATTTATGAAATTATAAAATTCATACAAAAATCGTCTAAGTGAAACAATCTTTAATTATATTCACTTCGATACCCTGGTCTCTGTAGTGACCTTACTAGGGTCTGGTAACCTAACAACTAATTGTGCTCCGTTTTGCATTGGTCTAGTTCCATTAGGCGTATTTATTTTGTTCATCGGTTGAGGTGCCGGAGGCAATACTTTCTTCGCTCCGCTTAATTTTGGCGAGCAACACTGTTTCTCGTCGAAATCATTTAAATTGATATTTGTCGTTTGATTCGGATAGATAGAGGTCTTCATCGGCGTACCATGTTCATTGAAGCCACAGTTTGGCCTCTGCTCGATGAGGTTTGTGTTCTGGAAGCTTGGTGGCAACATCTTGATACCATTACTGTGGTCGTTTAAGTTACAGAATGAAGGTTGTTGATCCGTGTTCGCTTTGAAATTCATATCCTTCGGATCGCACTTATATATTGGCGCTGATAACTGTGTGGAATTGGTTTTATTTGTGCTTTTATGACTGCTTCCGGAATAACTGGTGATAGATTCGTTACAGAAATCGCTCAGGTAAGTTTGGTTTATGTACCAGTTGTGCAGACGATGATGAATCTCCGGGAACTGCGGTCTGCGATTAGCTACTTCGTGCCAGCACTCTATCATTAGACTATAAATCATAGTTGGACAATCCTCGGGGCAGGGTAATAATTGCCGTGATCGAATCATGTCTATTACTTCTTGATTATTGTATCCGTAATATGGCTGTAAATTAAGATATATAACGTTTAAATATTTTATAATGCTTAATGTTTGGATAATTTTTTATTTTTCCTATAACATTATTTAGTTTTTACGATCTTTTTCCTTACCTGTAAACCGTAACTATAAATTTCCCATAATACAACTCCGAAACTCCATACGTCGGACTCTGTGGTAAATTTGCCGTAAAGAATTGATTCTGGCGGCATCCATCGAACAGGTAATAAACTTTTAGATTGAACTCTGTAGTAATCACTGCTGTATATATCACGAGATAAACCAAAATCGGAGATTTTTACTGTTAAGTTATCTCCAACTAGGCAATTCCTCGCAGCTAAGTCTCGGTGAACGTAATGATGACTGGCTAAATATTCCATACCTGATACGAAATTGATTTAATAAATTGATTTTAATTTAATAAATTTAATAAATTATTGTATATATATCGAAACTATTAATTAAAATTAAAATCTAACCAGATGCTATTTGTAATGCGATGTGCAAAAATTCCGGTTGTTCCAGAATTTTTCCGTTTCCATTGTTCAATGGAACGTCTGATCTTGGTGAATGGCAAATGAGAAACTCGTGTAAATCCCCTTGGGTCATGTACTCGAACAACATGCACATTGGTTCCCCTTTCAGTATTACACCCAGTAGGCAAATAATATTTGGATGCCTTAGGTCTGTCATCAAATCAACTTCCCGTTTGAAGTCGCTCTGTGTTTTTGGACTTGCATTCTCTTTCAACGTTTTCACTGCCACGTAAATTGGAGGTTCGCATTTATTGCCCGTTTGTAATTCTCCCTTATATACTTTTCCTATAAAAAATTAAAAAAAAAAAAATTATAGTTGTATATGTACGAGATTTGAGAATATATACTATTTTGTATATATATAATGTACACAATATGTAATATACCGAAAGCTCCTTCTCCAAGTTCTTGTAACAGTACAACATTATTAGTAGTAAATTGTGGTACTCTATTATTGGATGTTCGACTACTGCCACTACTTAATGTTCCTGTTCCAGGTGTTGTATTACCAGGACCAGCTAAAAGAGAACTCATTTCCATAGGTTGGGTTGTACTTCGCCTTCCATCATATATATTTTTGTCACATTGTATACCGGTTAACATCTAATATATAAAATATAAAGTATTTTAAATATATTATTAAATATTTAAATTTTATCAAATGTAAAATTTATCAAATGTATAATATCTAAATGTTAGATGGAATCTTACTTTATTTGTTGGCAAATGATTCATTTGCCTTCTAGATTTCTTGCTTCTATAACAGCAGCAATAACAGACCAATATGGTAACAAATCCTCCTGTTAGTACAAAACCAACGACTGCATAGATCCATAAATTTTCAACTGTAAACAAATTTCCATTCATTCTGAATTCTTATGTTAGTGTATTTTTAGTTGTATATAGAATGAATGCAACTTACCACATTTAGGTATATTACAAAATTCCTTTTGTGGTTTACTATCGACATAAACATAACACCATGGTTGTAATTCTTTATCACCTGGATTGCGACAATATGAATGCTTTCCAGCTAATTCGGGATAATCGGAAATCTGAAGATTAAATTCACCATGTGACCATTGCATACATGATCTTCCACTAATACTTGTTTTTACGATTCCACGATAAGATTTTCCGCTTCCCCAGTAACAATAGTCATCTATAATTAAAAAAAAAAGAAAAATGATTTCATTAATTATTATAAAAAAGAATTTAAAACTTACATTATTAATTTTATCTTTTCAAATAATAATATATTGTTATTATTAAAAAAAATATTAAAAAATTAAAAATACATACTTTCCTGTACATTGTTTCCTGAAGAGATTCCAAGAGTTAAACAATCACGAGCCTCGGGAGTATCTTCCATCGGTAAATCTGAACAATCAATTAAAGGCACTTGATGTCCAATCAGTGGATGTCTTTTAGCAATTGCATATTCTTTTTTGCACAAATCATTCTCTAACATTTCACATTCTTGTCGACAAATTCTTCGTAATTTACGATTGATCTCCATTCTATTAGATGATTGTGTTTCACCGTAGCTTTGATTTATTATTTTTTTATTGGAAGTTTTTCCATCTTTATACGGATTAAATTCTGAGGTAGGACCCAATGTGGGACTACGTTTTTTGGGAATATCATGAGCTTCTGTAATATCATCTGCATCATCTCCATCATCCATATCTCTTGATAAATCACCTTGATTCGAATTTAAAAAATGAAATAAACTTGCACTAGCTTCAGAATTTTTAAGTTTAAGAATACTGTCAGGATCACGACATATTGGAAATGCAGAAAAACATAATGATGGTTTTGCATAACCTTCACAATTTGATGAAACCTCACTGAAATATAAAAATAGAACAATTATTTTAATATGATCTGTACAAATTTTTATACTATATCATATATAAATTACTTACTTTGAGTATTTAATAACACCAAAAGCTTTCATCAATTTATCATCAAGTAATTCTTGAGTCATTGGATATGGAATATAAACAGATTGATTTCCTAAAAATTGTGCACATGTTTTTCCTATGTATACCTAATAGAATAGAATAATTTAAAATTTTAATGGATAATTCATAATTTAATAATGAATAAAATATATAATAATTTTTATGTACTTCGCATTTTCCTTCATGATTGTCTTTTCTGCCAGGAGATAATTGCATATTGACATTTCTAAGGCCGCCGATTGTATGAATGTCGATAGTATTAGTTTGAGAACTAGTTGGTTGTGGACTTGGTGATAATATACTAAATGGATTTGTTGATGCCAAATGCGAGATATGTGGCGTTGACATTCCAGTCCCTGAGAGGTCTAATCCATCTCCAGGCCCAATGCTATTGACAATACAAAGATTATTATAAATGTTTGAATGTATTTATTCAATAATATAAAAAAATTATAACAAATTTGATAGGTTAGGAATATAGTATTATTATTTTCTAAAATAATATATTTACATCATAATGCAAGCATATACATATTCATTTTTTATACAAAATAAAAATATTAACTTTTTAGTTCATTGCGTGAACATTTTATGTCATGATTTTAATCAAAATGAACGATCAGTTGTTTTCAAAACATAACCTTAATACAACTACTAATAGATAAAATAAATACTAAATTACGAAAAAAATGCTTTAAAATAAACATAAAGTCATACAAATTTAAATTTTCGATTCTTTATTTAACATACGTAAATTACATTTTTTTATTTATTATCGTACAAAATTCGTAGGTATTTTTTATAACCTCACTGAAATCAACAAAGAATGATCACCTTGTTTCTCTAATATTTGTAACATTTTTTTTGACACTATTTATACCATGTACAAAAATACATGTATTATGTAACAATACTAGGTACAAGAGTAGCTTCATATTTATAAATTATCTATTAAAATTTTAACAGAAATTTTATGTCATTTGACATCACATTCAGTGTCCATTTGTAAACTGTCGCTAATTGAAATTTTTGGCGGTTAAATAAGAAATTATGAAATAAAGTAATGTCTTTTTCAAAAATATATTTTTTAAGATAAGTAAAAATATATAATTATATAAATTTTGTAAATAGTTTATATACCTAATATTATTTATCTAGCTAGTATTGTTACAAAATATGTATATTTTTTTACATACTATAAATAGTATAAAAAAAAAATGTTACAAATGTTAAATTGTTTAATATATTTCAAATTCTATCTAAGAGTTTTTTCAAAGCATTTTAGTTTTTCTTAATAAGAAATATTTGAATTTCGAATTTCGAATATTTTGAATTTCGAAATTCAATTCAAAATTTCATTTTTAATATAGAAAAAATTATTTTAGAAAATTCATTTGCTTTACGTTTGATTATTAAATACAAATTTTAAAAAGTGTCAAAAATTATTTCAAGATTATTCTAAAAAATAAATTTTAGAATGGATATTTAAATATATCATATTGTATTAATAAATAAACTTGATATTTACCCTTCAATGAAATCACCACCACCAATCATATCCGGGGAAAATCTATCATCCGATGTTTGACTAATGGGATGATCGGAATGAATAGGAACTGTAAAATAAATTATTATTTAAATTAAAAAATGTTCTTTCTAGCAAATATAATAAATTCAATTTATATTTTATTTCTGTGAATATCTTGTATTCGAAATACAATCGAAAAATAGTCACATAGTGATCCTAACAATATGATACTTTATAATAGTGGATCAATTAAAATTGAATTTTTCTTTCTTCTAACATTCTATTCAAAGTGTTTTCGAAGAGAGGATAAATTAAAAAATTGCTCTTTTTGACGCTTGACACATCGCGTGGTCCTTTTGAAAATCTCCAGGTTTGAGTGCGAGTGCAAATCTGTATTTGTAATTACAATTTATTCATCTTCTTCCGTCGATGCTCATGTCTTTATGTTGTTATAACAGATTTTAAAAGAGTTGAGACACGATGAAAGATACTGTTCATTCATTAAAAATCCTCCTGCCGTCAAATTTTTCAATTTTTCTGTTTCATTTCTTTGCGTTTTTCCTTTTCGTTATTTTCCTTTTATATCTTCATTTCTTTTTTACCGTGTGTCCATGATTTTGTCTATTTATTTTTTTTTTCTGGTGTTTTTTCTCTTTCTATTTTTCCTTTCTTCTTGGAGATAAAGAAAAAATAATAACAGTTTTAGTTTCATTCGAAGAACAGGATGAACTTCGTGATTCGCAGCGAAATTAAATGCAGTAAATGATATCAAGTTATTATAAGATAGTTATTTTTAGATAGAAATCTTTTTGTTTTTATTTTCTCGTTTTTACATTTTACAGATGTAAAACATTTTTAAATTAGTTTTGCAATTATAGAGTTTTGTTGGAATCAAATTATTGATACTATAACAGATTCTCTATTGAATATTTGAATATGATTTCAACATATTTCTTTGTGGTTTGTCTATTATCATTTTATAATTTATTTTCTCAAATTAAATTAAAATTAATCAATTATTAAATATTTTCATAAATATTATTTTTATTCATACATATTTTAATTTATTTTGTTTAGTTTTGCATGATTTTCATAACATTTTCCTTAGATATAATGGAGAGTTTATAATTTATAGAGAAAATTTAAATTTTTAAAATATATATTAAATTACGTGTTGTATTAATGATATGTTAAAATTAAAAATGCAACGATTAACATGTACACATTATATCATGTTATTCGATCAACGTTGAATTGCATATTCAATTTTTATTTAATATTTAAATGTTGATTATTGTTTAAGAACAAAAAACAGGATTTTATAAAATTTTATAGTAAAATCATTTCAATGTTATGTATAATAATAAAATGTGAAATATATGAAAAAATAGATATATTCAAATATTTCATCTATTATTTAAAAAATGGAAACACTTTAAAATGATATAAATATTTCATGATAAATAAAAAAATATCTAAATGAAAAATAAATTTATTTATATATATCAATCAATCATTCATTATTTGTAAAATACAATAGTCGACGTAATTCAATTTTAATATAAAACGATAAAATAATAATCGACGATAAAATCCAAATAGACATAACAAAATATTCCATTGTATATTAATTATCAAAAAAAACAAAAAAAAGAAAGAAAAAAAAGTATACATGGAAATTCCACTTTAAATATGACGACGAATAAAATACACAAAGTTAAATCTAAATAAATTTATTTATCAAATTATCAAAATTTAGATCTATTATATTTCAAAATTCCTTTTTTAAAAAGAAAAGCATGTTGCATCAGTATAATTTCATTTCGTTTTTAATCATAGTTTTTTTTTTGTATTATATTTATGCGATTTCTGATGGAAACGTAAGAAAATCGAAGTAGATAAAAGATATATAAAAATAAAAAGAACAAGAAATGGAGAAAAAAATAGAAAAAGTCGTAAAAACTTGTGGTCTCGCGATGCTTTATATTCACATAATACAATTTTTTACGTTGCTTCATGACAACAAAAACGAAATATCCTGTATCGATTCTGTTTTGATTTCAATTATCTTTCATTACCTGGACATTGTATGATTTCCGGTCGCGAATTTGATGTGACTCAAGCTTCCGCCTGTATAGATCCATTTGCTTTATCGAATAGCATTGACAATGCGCGACAATCATCGCGATATTTCGATCACCGTTATTCTTTTTTATCACTTTTCCTCTTTTCAATTGAAAAGGTTGCCGCGCGGAAAGAGAGGAAATGAATCTCAGTAAAATGTAAATCGTGTGTAATTCGATCTAGAGAAGATTTGTTAATACGTGGATCGGACACGTAACCGCTGCTGCATCTCTCTAACGTTTCGAAATATAGTTGTATTGAATATTGCGTTAGAGTAAGCATTTTATCTGAGTGAATGTTTTAATAAATTATTTTTCTAAAGCCATTAAACGAATCATGCGAATTAAAATTTTTCCAAGAGAAATTAGAACTAAGATGAACCATGGTTTAATTAATTGCCATTCTTTGTCATTTTATTATAATTGAATAGCTTATAATTTTTAAAAGTATTGAATCACGCGAAATAAAATTTTTTTTTAGCCTTTCGAATTCTTTTGTCACGAATTGACTTCTATGTCACAATTCAATAAGATGTGTAAATTATAATTTGAGAAAAGAAGAAAATAGCTTTTAATAAATTAAATAAATTTTTAATAAATGCGATGATATTTCATCGTAAATACAGTTAAAGATAAAAATAAATTAAGGATGAAATTTCCACTAGATATAGGTATCAGAAATAAATATCAGAATAAACATGGTAAAAGATAAAAGATAAAATTGATAAAAAATTGTATTTCACAAAATGAACTTGAAAACGAATTGTCAAATTATTTACGAATAAACGACGAAGTGAATGGAAGAGCGCAAGTAGACAGAATAAGCTCCAGATGCGAACGGAACGCGGGGGTGGGGTTATTAATGACCTCGAGTTGTCTTATCTTTTCCATTTCCTGTTCGAGATACATAATACGTGGGTCGGACACGTAACCGCTGCTGCATCTCTCTAACAGTGCATTCGACTTTGCCACGTACGATCGCGTGCTGGAACTCGTTTCCATCGATAAGAATTCCTTTCTTTTCTTTTTTCTGTAACGTACCAACGCATTTATCTGTATCGCATCATGATACACATCAAGGATGTCTTGGAATATTTATTATATCACCATTATTTATTCTTCTTATTTATTTTCTTATTCTCACTATTATTTCTATATATGAATATAAATTTCAATAAGTGTAATTATAAAGCAAGATAATAATTATAATTAGATAAAAAATAATTATAATTAACATTTTTATATTAATTAATATTAATTATAACTAACATAATTATAATTATTATTTGTGCGATAGTTTTGAAAAATCAAAAAAGTTTTGGAAAGTTTCAGGAGACGTTTGCTCTTGAATTAATATTATTTGATAAAACAAATTTTGTAAGTATTAATAACAAGTTTGATATTAAAGCGAAAGTCAATATTGCAAATTATAGTTTTAATAATTATCTGTATTGTTTAATTGGAAGTAATTTATGTAATTTGTAATTGTAATTTATGTAAATTACCAATTCATTAATATTATTAATTACTAAATTATTATGCAAATGAATCCTGGTTTCAAGAATATTATATTTCAGAAATATCGTAATATACGTATGTAATTATAAAATATATACAGTAGGTGTTCATTAATGATAAACATAATGATAAACATGTATCGTTATCGAAAAATGAATATATAAATAATAACACAGTGAATTACAAAAATATTTTGGTGCATCGTAAATACATTAAATTCTTACTAAAACTTATAAATTACTATAATTATATCCTTGAATCAGTAAAGAATATCACATATTAAATTCTTCTGTACAAATCTAACGCGGGGATGGGAATTGAAAAATAGAAAAATTCTCTTTAGATCTTTTCCTTATAAAAGAATATACAGTTAGAAAAAAAGTATTCCGATAAAAATAATAAGTTATCCAGGTCTTGATAGAATCTGACTATCTCGCAAATTTTCACCGAGATCTTTCATGAGGATAGAAATTACGATTTGCGGTTAGGAATGAAGATAGCTCAAAGATCGGCAGGAAAACTGTCGAGGAGGAGAGGATAGAAAAATTTTCAGCCACAATGATGAAATAAGCCATTAAGTCAGCCGGGTATAATATCAAGGGAAGGAACGTAATCTCGTCTAATGTCGGGCAATGAAACGTAATAGCATAATGTATCACCGCGTATCGCCTGGCATTCTCGCTATGTATACCGACTTCTCTGCTAAATTATATGCAAAGTGTTGGGTTTTTGGTAAAGTTCTCTCCTTTCTGAATTCTAATTACTTTTTCTCGCGCGCGTTTTTAACGGTTACTAGAGAAACAACGGCTAACCAAGCCGGAATAATTCGCTTTTGGAATTAATTATCTCGCGGAAAGATGACGTTTTCGGAATCTGTTCTCGGAATAATACAGATACACGTATTCCCCGACCGTTTTCGAGAAGAATTTTAATTAACTTTAAAGGAAAGGAAATGGCGAATTTTTATTTCGATGATTGTTGATCATCATTAAAATTGTATTTTTTTTTTTTGAAATTATCGAATTGATCTAATTAATAATTGGAAATAGAGTTCAGTATCTAAATATATAATATACATAGCTAATTATAATTAAAATTATATGGAAAATAAATAAACATTTCTATCTTAAATTCTTAAAAGTTAACGTTATTTTTCCAAAAAATAAGTAACTTCATAGTAATAAAAATAAAAAATATAAAAAGTACATTTGGTATCAAATATATTTTAAAAAAAAATAGAAAGAAAAGTCCAAAGTCTTTCGCAAAATTGAGAATAATATAAGTCATTTTTAATATTCTATTCGAAATAATAAATTTAAATTTCTTAATATCGCCAAATACTTTATTATGAAATAAAATATTTGATATTTTCGATTTCCTCGATAAATTTCGAAATTTTAATAACCACTTTGTCGTCTCTTGACGAGCATCGATTATTTCCGAGGTGTTGTTTCAAGGAGATTCAGAATAAGTCAATTTTGCTAGACATGAATCAGATATACATAGACGAACGTAAGAAGCGCGGTTGGAGATCATGTTTGTCTTTGATAATCAACGACCGTCTCATCCATCTTGGTCAAAGGGTCAACACTTTTCCGTGTGCGACATTCGCGACTACTCACTCCAACGAATACATTATTCATGAGGCTGGCGTAGTAAGTGTTGTCCAAAATTCAATTCAGTAGCCCACGAAGGCAGCCGTGTACGTGATTTGCCTTCTGCCGGACTTGAAATCCTCGTTCTTGTTTCTTTTTTTTTTCTTTTTGTTTTTCCTTTATTCTTGCTTTTCATCCTTGCCTTTTTTCTCTTCGTTTTTTTCTTCTTTCTTGTTGCGCATTTCTCTCTCTCTCTCTCTCTCTCTCTCTCTCTCTC